CAATGGCATGTTGGCTCCAGATGTGTCAAAGGATCCAGGTGAGGGCGGAGGGTGTACCCCGGGCTCTGTTCTGATTTTGTTTGGGGTTTCCTGCCTGTGCAAGCTGCATTGTGTGATGGACGGCTTGTTTTTACCTTTTTCTGAAAACTTTTGTAAGAACATAAAAACATAAAGAAACGTCACCAGCACGCGGGACTTTACCCGCCAGGACTGGTCTGTAGGAGGCTTTGTGATGTAGAGAATGCGAGCTTCCCTTTGTGACCGCTTGGCGTTCCAGCTGGTGTTCCAGCATGTGCCAGCTGGGGTGGAGTGACACAGTCATTGTCAGGCACACTGCCACCGTCTTCCTGAAGTGACAATGCCTGTCATGGTGGGACGAGCAGTGTCCTCTGTGTGGCCTTTGCTGCCCCATCCAGCACACCCAGCCCACTCAGCCCCGGGGCCCAGCAGGCATGCACCCTGCACTGGGGAAGCCCTCTTCACTCCCTCGGAGAGGGCCATCACTGCCCATGAGTGGACAGACTACTTCCCTATGGTAATAAAAGTGCGTGAGCTTCCTAACCCTGCCATGCCAGAGAAGCAACAGGACCGTAAGCACAATTTCCCCTCTAAGGAAGAAAACACGCAGCCCCTCCTTCGTAAAAGGCAAGGGGCTTGTTCTAGATGACTTCAAAGGTGCCGCGCTCTCAGGGAAGGAAAGGAAGAGGAGACAGAGGCGCATTCCTAGAAATGAGAATGTGCCCTGTACGGCCCTTACAGTAAGTGGTGCTGCTCTGGGGGTGTGTGTGTGGCCCTGGAGGCTGAGAACTTTCCGCTCAGTGGGCAGGTGGACTTCCTGGACCCGCGGAGCCTCGGGAGGTGCCTGGCCCCGGGTTTCCATTACAGCACAGCCTGAGAGGGAACCCTCTGTGGTGTTTCACGCAGGCTGGGAACCTTTCATCTGCAGGTCATGTTTGTATCCGAGAGGTGAATATTAATAACCTCTTGGCAGCAGAATGACTTTCTTAAGGAGGGGGTTTCCCTGTGTATGGGTGGCTTAACCTTTCAAAATACATGCTTCTACTTAACCCACTCGGTTACTGTTTGATTCAGAGTCCAGCAGACCAAGTCTCGGGGCTGGAACCCAAGGTGTGCGCCCTAGAGCTGAGAGGGGCTCTCGGGGTGCACACGGTGAGTGACCCAGCGCCTGGACTTTCATTTTCCGGCTCAGCAGAGCTCGCGGTCACTGCACTCCTTAGAGGCCTCGGGTTATCCTCCTAAAGAGCATGTACAATGGATGACGCTTCTGGGAGCACCAGCAGTTAAGGTAAGGGTCTGTGCTCCGCGTGGGAGACCCTAAGGGAACCAGTGAAGTCTTTAGAGTCCTCACCAGTCGGCTCTGTCTCCGTATCAGATAAGCTGCTTTAATAAGCCCTGGCCATATGACTGCTATCCTCCTGGCTTCGTTGTTTCTAGAAGTTCTCTAAGGAATGGCTGACTCACGCAGTCATGGGGATGACGCTGTGGTCCTGCCGTCCTCAGACAGCACAGGACTCCAGCCGTGATCCTGTCGGGACAGGCAAGCGTCCCGGGCTCCAAGGGAGCACTCTGTTCTGTATTCTTCAAGGTGCCGGGTCCTCCTGTCCCTGGGGAGCATGACAGCATTTTAAACAATGCATTTCTAAATATAGTTACTGGAGTGTTTTATTCAAAGTAGTCGTTTTTTTCCCAAAGGAGAATGGAAAAGAAACTTCCTAGGAGTCGCTTAAGTGTAAACAGCCAAATCGTCTCCCAAGGAAGGTGATTTTAACAGCCAGCAATGGACATGAGTAGGTTGTGTGTATCCGGCTCCGGGATACTGGGATGACGGGGACGACGGGGAGGACGGGGATGACGTGACCCCAACCTACAACACTGCCCCCGGGCCTGGGGTCCCTGCTGTGAGAGGCTGAGGGTGCTTCCACAGAGTCCCACTGCGAGCAGCCTGCAGGGCTCCACCCAAAGGGCAGGAGCAGCTCTTTGGAGTGGATCTGTGTTAAGAAACAATTTTCGGGGGGCGGGGGGGTCTCCTCAATTTCTTGAGGCCATTTAAAAAATCAGAATTGCAATTTTATATTCCAGAAAATTAAAAAAAGAAATCCCATCCCTCATTCCCCTCGGTCCCGTTGCGGTTCCCGTGGGTGCTGTCTGCTTTCCTCTCTGGGTGTTCTCCCTTCCACTGGGGCTGGGGGTGGGGTCCTGCTCTCCGGCTCCACTCACTACGCCTCTCATCAGAGTGTCATGGCTTTAAACATGAGAAACTGAGTGTGAGACCTGTCGCTCCTATTAAGGAGTCTAAGACCCCGAGCGGCAACAGCGACGGGCGTGGGTCCCACTGAACACTTGGGTCCTCAGCTCCTCTGAAGACCTGTGGCTGTGGGTCCCTGGCAGCGCAGGTGGGGTGAGCATGGAAAGGGGCAAGGGTCCTCGTCAAGGAGACCTGTGGCCTCAGCGTCTGCGGCTTTTACAACCTGCTGCTGTGGCTTGGCTCCTGGGCTCTTTGCCTGTCGACTTCTAAACGTCCTTCCTCGCTGAGATCCGGCAAGGAGAGGTGCTCAGAGGAGAGCCCGTGGGCCGGTTCTCCCGCACGGTTGGATGTCTGGGATTGTGAAGGCTGGGATCCTCCAGAAGTGAGTTTCACTGGTGGTTATTCATATGTGACGTCCGATTCATTCCACTGCCTGTTGATCATTAGAGAAAATGAGATCCACATCTTTTGGTCTTGAATTCAATCATGCTTCTAATACACATGTTTAAAAGGTTGACTTTGTAACTTGGGGAACTTCCATGAAATTCCTCAGTAAAGGTCCACAATGTGAGAATATTTCCCAGAAAAGAACTGGATATAGACCCAGAATAAATGCCTTTCTACATGCAGAATGAGAGACCCTTCCAAGGACAAGAAGAGCCTCTTCCCCAGGTAGGAATTGGTCCTGGGTGACATCTCACCAAGCTCGAGGACATAGGCATCCATGGCCCTGGGGTGACCAATTTTCATAGCACATAGGTATCAGAGTGACTCTGCTCATTATAATGTCCGATGCTTCCCATTTCAGACATGGTGATAGAGACCGGATCCAGAGGCACACAGGTTTGATGATAGCCCTGGTGACAGGCAGAAGCATGGTCTCCTGGTCCCTGATTCAGGAACATTTCCAATTCCAATGCCCAGAGGTCAATTGAGCACAAAGAAGAAATGCAGGTGCCGATGGGCTTGAGCTACAGAGAACATGGGGCAAAACTTCATTGTTGCAAGGAAAACAAAGTCTTAGAAGGAAATAGGTGTCAAAAGTCCCCTGATTTGACACCTTTCTGAGAAATATGAAATGGAAAAAAAAACCTATAACTCTTTGGGGTATTTCTTTTTATTTGGCCCAGTGATGTGAAGCAGAAATCTTCCTTTTCAATCTCCTCTGAGCCGTGACTGTAAGTGAAAGCCGTGTGAGCTATTCCTCCCAGCTCCTTCCCGCCACGGTTTAAGGGGCTCAGTGCCGACCAGGAACGGCCCTCCTACCCTCTGGAGGCAGTCAGGGGAGGAGAATAAGGACCCCAGCTCTTCGGTGACTGGCGCATCCTGTTGAATTGCAGTCGCCTTGTTTTGGGTAGAAATTATCAGAAAGGCTTCAGTGGTGTCCCAGCTTTGAACCTGCAAACCTGGGTTAGTGTCATGGTCACCTGAGGTGTCCATCACCCTGTTTCTAGGTGGACTCCCCTTCTTTTATTAGGGATGTGATGACAGATACGGAGCTCTAGGAATGAAGCTTTTTGACACGCAAACTGGCCACTTCATGTATAAGGAGTGGCTAAAGGTATTATTAGGAAAATGTGCTGGAGATTTTGTCCGTTTCTTTATTGCCTATAATAACAAGGATTTTTAAAAGAATCATAAAACGTTATTATTTGCATATTGGCAACAAATGGGCTTTGAAAATCCCCAAAAGCCATGCAAGTTACTAAAAGTAAACTAAATGCCAAAAGGATTGTCTTATTTCCTCAGAGTGTTTGTTAAAAATGGATTTTAATGCTTTCAAGAGAGACGCTCACTGTCTGGGTGACACAGGCCACTCCCCCTTGCTGCCAGCAGCTCCTGCCTGGGCTGCTGCTCTCCCTCAGCCTCCCTGGGCTCTCTGTCCCCTGCACTGCACAGCAGGCAGGATTCCAGGCAGCCGGGCTCACGGCTCAGGTCCTGCTCTGGTTTCTGCTGCTAAAAGTCGAGTGGCACATTTACCAGCTCTGGGTTTGTTTGTTCTCCCAACCCACTTATAACTTCACTTTTTTTTTTTGGTAATTACATAATTTAAATGGACTGCATATAAACTGATGGTGTATGGGTACAAAGAGGTGAAAGAATTATTGTTTCTACATGATCTGATTGGAATACCTGGGAAATATCCAATAAAGGTGGTTACCAAATTTAAGTTGCACGTGGGTGAGACAAATACTGAGGTTTGGAAAATCGCCTTGAGCATCTAAAAGCATCTTGTTTTCCACCTGCCTTGTTTCTTTCTTTCTTTCTTAAAGAGAGAGAGAGAGAGAGAATTTTAATATTTATTTTTTAGTTTTCGGTGGACACAACATCTTTGTTTGTATGTGGTGCTGAGGATCGAACCTGGGCCGCACGCAAGCCACACTTGCCTTGTTTCTTATAGTACTTGTTCCTTTGTAAAGAAACCAACATTAGAGTTGACAGAGGATTCACCATGGACCAGGAGGCCAGGTAGACAACTGGTAGATGCCCATTTGGAAAAGAGGGCATGTGTATTTCAAATTTCACCAAAGCAATGTGGCACTAATGTATTATTTCTCATGAGTCTCAGTTTTAGCAAAAAAAAATTTTTTTGTACTGGGGATTGAACCCAGGGGTACTTAACCACTGAGCCACATCCCAGCCCTTTTTATATTGTGTTCAGATACAGGGTCTTGCTGAGTTGCCTAGGGCCTCACTAAGTTGCTGAAGCTGGCTTTGAATTTGTGACCCTCCTACCTCAGCCTCCCCAGCTGATAGGATTACAGACATGCACCACTGCGCCAGCCAACATTTTATTAACTAACTACCATTAGTTCTCTTATGTGATCAACAAGAAAGCTTTTTATGTATTCTTAAATACCGAAATATCATTTTCAAAAAATCAGTATAAGGGCTTTGTGTATGTAAGTGTGTGAATGTGAAGGTACATACGTGCATTTTCACATATGCTCTTACAGAATCTTTGTAAGTTATCACACGCGCACACACACAGACCACAGGGATGGTGATTTAGATAATGGCTTGCCGGTTACCAAGTGCATTCCGTCTGAAATACGTCCATCTGGTTAACATTTGATTTGAACTGGTGACAGCAGGCACGGGAGCGAGACAGTTCCTGGGTCGGTATCCTGAGCTCCACCTTGGGTGCCATGGAGGGAAGTGTGTCACAGGATAAACCACCTGTCAGCCTCAGGGCTTCTGCCTCGTGGCTTCACCCCTTGGATGGGCCTGCACAGGATCCAGTGCCACAACGCGGACCTGCCAGCACGGCGGCGTATACCACGGGCGCTTTGAACTGATGTTTTCAGGGTCTCCAGGGCTGACTCGCAGACTTTGTCTCTGACTGGAAACACTTGTCCCTGTCCTTCAATCTGGTGGTAGAAATCCCAGATTCAGAAAGCTGTCCCCAGGAATGGCAGGAGGCTCTTACAATCTGGTTTACTTCCTAAATAAGTCTGTCCCCTAAAGCTGGGTTGTTCGATCTTCTGTGGATTGTGTGAATCTCTGCTTAAGCAATCAAACTACTTACGATCTTCACTGATGTGCTGAAACCCATCCAAGACCCCAAGGCATCTCTCGGTTAAGTTAAATAGAAGGTGACAGCTGCTTCTTCAGCACCACAGGACTTCACTGTGTAAAGGAGCAGTGGACAGGGGAGGGGGACAGAGGAAAGTGGGCAGACAGACAGCCTGTGCCTTTCCCCAGGGGATGCTGCCGGCCACCCGGCTCTAACATGAATCTCATGATTCTCAGAGTCGTCGCAGTTTGCCCTTGCCTTCCCAGGAAGACGGAATTATAAAACAACCATAAATAAAATGTCAATCCTTTGGTTTTCAAATTTGATTGATATAAACAGGGCAAAAATAAAACAATATAATCCACCAAAATACTTAGAAATAAAACAATATAATCTAAAACTATATGCTTAGGACTCATTATAGTCAGATGAGACAGGTATGATTATCATCCACATCTCAGAGGAAGCAGCACAGAAGGCCTGCAGTCTCCCCAGTTAGGAGACGGATGGGCCAGGATGGGCCTGGGCAGTCCCACTTCTGAGCCTGCGTTAACTGCGGCCCGGCTTGGCATCTGTAGATGTGCAAAAGAATATGCTTAACAAGCAGTTTATAATCCCATATCTGGGATTTCTACCACCAGATTGAAGGACAGGGGCAAGTGTTTCCAGTCAGAGACAAAGTCTGCGAGTCAGCCCTGGAGACCCTGAAAACATCAGTTCAAAGTGCCCGTGGTATACGCCGCTGTGCTGGCACGTCCGGGTTGTGACGTTATTAAGCATATTCTTTATAAAGACAAGAGGCCAGCCCCACCATTTCACCCCGATCTTTCTTACACCAACTGATGCCGCAGAGCTTGACTTTCTTCCTGGGTTCACCAAACTCTAATCAGATCAGTTAGACATTTTCAGACATGTGCATGGATTCTGGAAGTCACTTTAGAAGAAGGATCTCAGCATTCGGTGGATGGCAGGTTGTTGGCATAGAGCAGGGCACTGTGGTCATGCCTCCGACAAACGGGGATACACACAGTGGTCCCGAGCTCGGGAACTGCACACATGAGCATATCTGGGCAAAAGATGGCTTCCCAGAGGCCCTGCAAGGCAGGGGAGGGAGGTCGTGGACATGAGGACAAAGCAGGCCAGTTGCTGGTGACCTAAAGACTAACAGAGAGCACGGCAGGCAGGCAGTTGGCCCTGACTAGGCAGAGGAGCTGACCACCTGAACGGCAGTCCTTCAGGAGAGCATCCACCTGGAGCAGCGAAGGTCGGGAGGCCAGGCAGCCGCTCCCCTTCCCCTGCGCTTCTCACCTGTGCATGAACGTGCACCATCTTCTGTGTCTGGCTGGGTTGCTCCATTTAGGGTCTGTTTAGCAGGTCAAAACGTCGAACTACATTAGAGGAGAGTTACTGGGCCGTGGTGGAGGGTGCCACGGCTCAGATGTGGGTGTCCTCTGAAGCCCCCGTGTTAATGCAGGGTGCTCTGAAGGGAGAGGATGGCACCCTGAGAGCTGTGACCTCATCAGCCCACCCCGCGTGGTGACCGCGGGCAGGCTCACATGGCTGGGGTGGACCACAGCTGGGGTGGACCACCGGGGCGTGTCCTGGGAGGGTGCCCCTTCCCCCTCTGCTTCCTGACTGTGCTATGAGGGGAGCAGCTTCCCTCCACTGGGCCCTTCCCTCAGGATGCTCTGCGCCCCCTGGGCCCAGAGCAATGGAATCAGCTGTCTGTGGACCAGCACCTCTGGAACCATGAGCCCCAAATAAACTTTTCCTCCTGTAAATCACTCTTGTCAGGTGTTTTGGTCACAGCAACCCAAAATTGACAAACAGAGGGTAAGTGCTGTGCTCCCAGAGCCAGGTGGCCACGCTGACCCGGGACTTCCTGGCTGCTTGGATCGGGTGCCCTGCTGCAGCCTGTCCCCTGTCCCACATCAGCCATCGGGGGTCATGACGTTCCTGACCTCCCAGGAGGCTGCTTCTGTGCTTCTTGGCTGAGTGAGAGGGTGGGGAGAGAATTCCTCATCTTAATGTCACCTTGACTCATAACTAACAGAGATGAAGTTCAGAGAGCTAGAGGAAATTTGTTAAATTCCACAAGACTTCTTAAAAAAAGAAGAACATGAAGCCCTGGTGTTGAGAAGACCCGGGTCCTCAGGCTCAGCCTGGTTTTATTTATTTGCTTCCATTTGAAAGACAAGGCCTCTGATTGAAGAGTCATTTTCTGATAATCCCCTTTGCTATACTGTTCAGTTGGAAAAAGCCCCCTGTAGGTGGTAGAAATGGAAAGACTCGTGATGGAAATCGAGAACTAATGAATTCTGGCTTCTGGTTACTTCTCAATGATATTTTTGCTTCCTGGATAGAGAAATTAATGTGAAATTCCAGCTATCAAAAGGCTACTTAGAAAGGAAATAGAATAGAATAGAATAGAATGTGTTAGAATGTTCCTCCCAGACCACATGCACCTGTGTGTTCCCAGTGCCTCAGAAGGTCAACTGTAAAGCCTCCTGTCTGGTAGCTCCTTCCCCATGCCACTTTGTTTATGACCATCAGACTTCAAATGATACAATGTTATTCCCTAAAAATATATTTTTACCAGGTTTCATGTGTGATGTAAAATATATTTCATGTGAGATATAGAGATGTTATATATTACTTTTAAAAATTGGTACTAAAATAGATCTAACTTTATTTCAGACTGAAAAACTCATCTGTGCCATGTTTAATTAGGGGACAGCAGGAAATCGAGGCCCAGTAGTCACAGGGCTGGGCAGTTGGTTTTCCTGGTCCTTTGTCTCCCCTGGGCCCCTGTCTCCTCTCTTGTAAAGGGTGGTGCTATGATTCTTGGGTGACTCAGAGAACTAGTTACAGACACCTCTGACCACTCACCGCTCGTCTACTTTATTAGTTCACGCAGGAGCTCGGCTCCCAGAAGTTGCAGGCAGACCCTCATGGCAAGGCCCTCTCCGCCAGGTGGCGTGACGCATCCCTGCCTTCCAGTGCAGGCAGGCACCGCCTGTGGGGTCCTGCACCCTTGGTGGTCCTGTTGCTCTACAGTCCTGGGGGCATCCGCTTTCATGCAGAAACTGGCTACCCTGGTGGTAAACAGATGATTTAAACAACTGTCACAGCTGAGAACAGAATGGAAGGAGAGCCGCCTCCCCCCACCCACAGCTGGCCGACACCCAGACGGATCCTTCTTGGAGCATTTTAACAAACAAACTTTTTTTTTTGGTTGTTCTTACAATTCAACAGAAACTCATACAACTCAAACTGGCTGCATATCTCCCATAGACTCGACCCCTAGATTTTCTAATGGATCACAGCAATTGCACGTTTCCAGGTGCACTTAGAATGTGTTGACTGCCTGCAGGAATTGGCTTCTAAAACATATACAAATCTTCACATTCTTCCACCTCAAGATCCCACTGTGAACCCTCTGAGGTACAACGCCGACTGTGTAATGCTGGACCACAGTTTGGTGTTTAAGTCTCAATTCATATTAAATAGGAAAAAAGGAAATCGAAGACTCTGTGTCTGAGCATGGTTTTCTCCCAGTTTTTCTTTTCTTGGTCACGTTCCCAGCTCTCCTGTTATCTTGAACCATGGAGAGGATTGCTAACGCCCCTTGGGGAAAAGCTGGGCTCGGGGTGCAGTTGGTGGTTGGGCACACCTGGTGGTTGGGCACACCTGGTGAGCTCTGCTGGACCCGGCTGACTCCCCTCAGACGTCGCTCTGACAGCCGTCACAGTTCATGTCCTGCACACTGCGGGCCCAGCTCTCCTCTGGTTGACCCTGGTCAATCTCTCCCTGTCACAGACTCTTCCCCAGCTGAAAGACCGTCTGTGTTTATTCTCAGTGTTTGGTCCTTGATTGAAACCAGGCAGAAGGCAAATCTGTGGTGGTCCTCTTCAGGAGGAGAATAAAAACATGGCCCTGCATGGAAAGCTCCAAGCAGGTGGCTCGCTCCCCGCGACTGCCCCGCGTCTGTCCTGGGGCACGTCTGAGCCTCACATCCTTGGTATCTTTTTTCTTTTAGACTCCATGTGGACGGCCTGTAAGCAGAGACAGAACCAAGACAAGAAGCTGGTCATGCTCACCCACCAGCCTGAGGATTCTGAGAGGTAATCGTGCGTTTCACTTGGAGATCATGCGCCCGTAACGCAGTGGTCTAATCAGAACGGCTCTGCTTGCTGACAAAGTTCTGGTTCTCTTAGCACAGAGGGGATGGGTCTGGGGAAGTAGCTAGGAAGCAGACGGTGGCCGTTGTTGGACTGGTGGCCTGTTTTCTTTCATTGCCATCCAAGGACGAGAAGCATGGTGGGCTATGCAAGTCCTTGATTTTTAAAGTATTTGTCAATTTTCATTGATGAGCTTTGGTACTTGGGGTGATTCCTCTTCAACGGTGTAAATTTCTCCAAGGAAACAACTCCATTCACCAATCAGATGAAGGAGTAGCTGTGTCTGTCCTCCTGTTGGTCTGGTCCTTAGCTCAGGTATAGGATGAAGGTTTCTAAGTGCTCATCAAGCGTTGCCTTCCTCAGGCTCTCTGCTTGTGCACGCAGTAGGCAAGCTTGCCCTCAAGCCTCGCCCTGTTGCTGGCCTAGAGAGCTGTCCTCTGCACCCCACTTGGCACCTCTGAGTGCCGCAGCTGCTTGCTGAAGGTCGAGGAGGCCGGACCCTCTCCCCCTGCACTGGCACTCAGAAGTGCAGAGCAGAGTATGTGCCTAAGCACCAGAGCAGGGAGCTTGCCCTTTCAAGTTAAAAATAGTCCAGGAAATACCAAGACTCTTGTTCTTTTTTTTGGAGGGGGGGGCGGGGGTAATCAGGAATTGAACCCAGGGGTTCTAAACCACCAAGTCAATCCTCAGCCCTTTTTATTTATTCTTTAATTTTGAGACGGTCTCACTAAGTTGCTTAGGGCCTAGCTAAGTTGCTGAGGCTGGCCTTGAACTTGTGATCCTCCTGCCTCAGCCTCCCGAGCTGGGATTCCTGTTGTGTGACACAGTGTCCAGCAAGACCCATGTTCTAAATCAGCCTTTCTCACACAAGGGTTCTCAGGCCGTGGGTGTAAGGGCACTCTCAGGTCTGGTTCCATGTGAAGACTCATGGAAAGTGGCCCACGTATACTCCAGGAAGAAGGTCCAGACTGTGGACAAGGCAGCCTGCAGGAATTTTGAACAAAGACTGACAATAGCAACAATGTTTAAATGGGTTGGCCAGGGGGTGACCAGGAGCCCCGGGCACTGTGAGGGAACTGATTTCCTCCCCCTCAACCACTGACATTCTGCACTTCAGCTAGGGCTGTGGCCCCTAAGTGCAGGCATGTCCCTCACCACCTGCTGCTCTCTCCCCTGTGATGGTGCAGAGCGCACCTGCCCTGCCTGCTCAGTGGGTCTCAGGGAGCAGGGCCAGAGCCCAGCTGTGGGACCTGCTGTGAGATGCAGTGTGAATGTACCCCACAGGAGGAGGTGACAGTGAGAGACAACAGGGACCTCTGGGGCAGGAGGGACATTAAAAGCAAAGGGAGAACAGAAGGAGCAAAGGAGGGAGGAGGGGGGAGGGGGGAGGGGGG